TTATAAATAAAAAAAAAAAACATGTTGAAAACTAACGCAAATTCCCAGCGGACCTGGTGCGCCGTCGTAGCCCCAGCTTCCGCCGCTCTTGCCGGCCACAGTCGCTTTCTTCGAGTGCCAGGTTTAGATCATGAGACAATCTTTCCATGATACGCTAAACACCAACACCCAATACAAAGCCCATCGTCCGAGCAAAATTATAGCTCAACTAATCTAGAACTTACGATATATCAGTGCGTAATGCTTTTGTTTACCACTTAATTGGCCTACTTCCCACCTGCACTTCTCACTCGAATTACTGCACAATGTACTTTATTTGTTATAAAGGAATGATTGTATTAAATAACATAACTCTTTTTTGCTACTTTCGTATTGATATTACGAAAATGAACGAGAAAGGTCACTTTTTTTTAAAACCATAAAAATCCACATACAAAAATGTTCTAGTGCACAATCAGTTTGCCCTTACTTGTAATAAATAATACAAATGGCGATTACTAATGGTTAAACTGAATATTATACCACATTTAAGGCAATACTTAGTAAAAATTAAAAATAAGACAGCTTTATTCAATTTCAACTTACAGTACAGCACAGATTGCATACAATACAGATAAGCTGAAATGTCATAACAAAACCATTCCCATAGGTGTAAATTATTTTATGCCTCGTTTACATTGTGTCAGTAAAATAAAACAGTAGCTTAGCATTGGTTTACAAGTACAATAAGCAAAATGTAAACTTAATCTGGCGACAGTGATCAGCGATCCCATGTAGTTCATGCTCGGCGTAGACGTAATATTGGTAGGAGTCCTTATCCTGATTTAATTTTATATTTCTTTAATTTATAAATTGCAAGTTACTAAAAGATTGTCTTTTTATAATTTGTGTGTGGTGGGCAGGTGAGGCAATTATAATGCAACTGCAGCTGCAAGAACTGTAAACAATTATAAACTTACTAGGTATCTGACTAGGCAGACAAAATAGAAACTAAACTATGATGGCTCGCTAGCGCCCTCCTAACGTATAATTTTCTATGTCCATGAAGGTTTTACATATTTTCTGACAGAATTAACCGATAGCAGCGCCGAGTCACCGTTTGATAAAACAGTTGTAGAATGAATGCAGTTGATTTGTCTTTGATCTTTGTCAGTCATTTTAGATTTTGAGGTCAACTGTCAATTTGTGCGCGAATAACGTTTGTTGTAAAACTTTAACGTTTTGTTTTGATTTTTAATTGCTTTGGTAAGTAATGGTAAAATGATTTAAATTTATAAACCATATTCAATCTGAATGTTCACGGACCTTTATGATTTGATTTACTTCCGCTAATATGTTAGTTTTGTATAAATACAGTAATGCGCATCCTAATTTAGGCGGGAAAGTGTACATCCGTCAACATATCTTATCTATTTGTAACTTTACCCCTAAAGATGTAATACTTCACATAATATCAACGAGTATTAGCATACATTGAACTTTTGTTATCGATTTTTTCAGCCGTGATATTGTAAATGGAGGGCGCGGCGGCGCCTGAGACGGGGCGTCGCACCCGGGCCGCTCTCGCCGAGATCCCGACGCGCTTGGACCGTCTCCGAGTCACTCCACTGCAGCCAGTAACCAACTTACGTGAGTTGTCGCCGGCGCTGCCCCCCAGCTACCTCAGCCCGGCGCCTTCGCCCGACGAACTGTGTATACAACAGCGAGGTAAGTATCGAAATATATTTACATTGTAAAATCAATTTATAGTTTTCTACACATATGTTTCTCTAGTATATGATTTTAGTCCATGTTGAACATCTCAAAAGTTTTACTCCCTTCTGGATGTGGTAAGCTCAGGACAAATCAAGTACAGATACTAGTAGGGATAATTAATATGTAGAGAACTAAAAATATACTTACACACTTACTACATTAATTTAACTAAATGATGAAGAATAGGTCACTGTAGTCTATGGACTATAAAATTAGACGGTTACAATTTGTTTAGCCATAATTTAAAAGGCCCAAGGATGGTTTCAGGAAAGTAAATCAACAATATTAAAAAAAGAAAATGTTTATAGCCACTTTTATTCTCATTATTGAAGTAGACATGGTTTTTAATATAAATTAAAACATTCTTGACAAAACAAATTCAAAGAAAATCCTTGTTATTTATCTCTATTATGATTTAGTTGATAATTATTCTAACAACATTTTTAATCAATTTCAGGCAGAAAACGACAACCAGTAACATGGTCTCCCGATATAGACACCAAACGGAACTCTACATTCCACTCTACTATTCGTACTCCACCAAAGAACACTCCAAGTCGCACATCACCTCCAAAACTAGGAGTGACACTACGTTCCACGCCGAGAAAACGTCTTTTACTCGGAGAAATCGAACGCATACCTTTAACACCTGAAAAGATCGACTTCAGTGACCTCAGCACACCTCAGAAATTTCAAATAACCAGCCCCATTAAAGGAACACCTCCAATAAAAAGATTCAGACTAGACAAAACCATTGAAGAGTTCAGAGGTCCGATAGATGTCGCTCTAAAAGGTCTTAGTCCGACTCAACTTGTTAATATGATCAAACGCATAACCCAACACCATCCAGAAATAGAACAAGAAATAAGAAGGGAAATGCCAACACCCGATCTCGCACCACTAGAAGAGAAATTAATGTATTTGAAATCAAACATATTTAAAAGTCTACCAACATCAAGACTTACTTCGAAAACTGATTCTCCGGCGTTCTCAAGAGCATCTACACATTTGGCTGCATTCAAGAAGTGTTTAATAGATCAAGGGAAGACATTAATTGAATCACAGCAATGGGAATCTGTAATTAAATATGTGTTTCTTGCTTGGAGTTATGTACGTGCGACGCCGGTATGGGACAATCAGCCACATAATGTTCATAGGAAGCAGTGCTTTAAGGCTTTGACAAATTTCACTATGACCTCGTTGAAAAAGGGCTCATTTAGTAAGGATATACTGATAGATACTCAAGACAAGCTGCAGGATTTAGTAGCTGATAGTGAAGATGTACAATCATGCATGAAATTAATACAAGGACGACTTCAAGATTATCTTTAAATGTTAGATAATTAAGACAACACTAATTTTATATCCAGAATCATTTCGTACTCAGTGAAAATTTCTAAATCATAGTAAGGGCCCGTCCCACCATATTGTAAATTGTCCGATAATCCAATGTGTAAAATATGTTATGGAAATATTGGATTCTGTTCCCTTATCTTTTTAGGCTATCTTAGCCTCTATCAGCCAGTTACGGAAGAGACCCTAATACTTTTTAATTTACAAATAATTTAACTAAAAATAACTTTTGATTTTTTACAATCATTAATTTTTACAAGATAATGTAAAATAATATTTCTTAAATCAACTTCTAGATGCTTTTAATTTTTTCATTATAGTCTGTTGTCATAATCTTCTGCATTAAGAAATTCAAGCTTAGAAAATGTAAGTAGAAAATTATTTTTCTTTTAATTTTGTCATTAATTCACTGTTTTTAGGTAATTAGTAAACTATTAGAAAATAAGTTGTTAACCCATTTTTTTATTGTATGTACTGGTTTGCATGTCCATCTACTTTCAGACTGTCTGGAAATCCACATAATAAAGGAAACCCATATAAAAACATTCATTTGTTACATAACCAATAGTTTTGTATAATGTACGGTTCTTTTATTGTAAACATAAATTTCATATAAACATTGAATATTTTTGTATGAAGTTATAGGCAGAGGAAACCGACCCTAATATTCCTTTAGTAAGAAAATGACATTTCTGAAACACTTTTTTCACCAAAGCACTGACAATGATTTTTTTTTTTAAATAAATTTCTGACTTTATTGAATAAACAAATTCGTAATAATTTTGTCTACAGACATTTTCATATACATTGGGTTATTTATTGCAATTACAGTATTTAATTTAGTTTCTCCAAAATGTTTTCTGGTACCTTTTTCTTTTTTTTAATGTTTGTTACGCTAGCAATGACGAAATCCATCTGTAGAATGTGACGATGTAGTCAAAAGATGGTACGCGCTTACAAAGTACGTACAGTCTCACTGCCATACTTAGTTTATTGTCACTAACAGAGTACGTACCACGGGATTCCTTAAGTAATCATTAAGCGCTTTAAAGAAACTTAATTCAATGTCAATTTTACTATTAATGCGAAAATTTAGATGAATTTGTTTGATTTTGTAGCCCAAACCGCTGAACGGATCTCGATGAAATTTGGCATAGAGGATAGTCTGGAAAGGCTATTTTCTTTTTTTTAATTCCAGCGAAGTCGCGAACGAAATATAGTATCAATAATCAAATGTTTTTCTATTTTTGATGTTTTACACTTTGTATCTCTTATAAGAGTGTTGTGCCTTAAATCTGCGTATTGCCTTAGGTGTATTTTCAAAAACATTGCTTAATGTCCTCCATTGTGTTTTTAACGTGTAATTTGAAATAAATGATTGTTTAAAGAAATGTTGTTAATTTACCTTCCCTTCAATCAATTTTACGGGTTACACAAATAACACACAAAAATACAGGCAACATTCTCACTCTAAAATCAGGCAAAAAAAACGAAAAAAAAATTAAAGTTCATGCAGCGCACGCTACGAGTTGGATAAGTAAGAAAATACTTTTTTGTATAATACATAAGTAACAATTTCATCAAAAAAGGTAACATCACAATAAAAAGAAAATTAATAATCTGTTTGTTTGGTAATTAAATTAATTACCATTAATTAAGATTGTTTTCTTCAGAGGTAAAATAAACTCATTAACAAATTACATCATAATAAATATGAAAGGCTTTAATGACGTTATTTACTATAATAAATTAATTAATGATTAATCGATTAATTGAAAAAATCGGTATTTAAATAGTGGTTGAAATATTTTTTCATCATTCCATCTTCGATCTTCAAACAGTACTTTAGTACGCTTCGCATTTTAGTTATTTTAGTCAAATTGTTTGAAAAATGAACAGAAAGTCGGCAAGTCGTAAACTTTTGTATCGTTTAATCGATAATCCAGTTATATGCTCAAAGCGGCCAAAAGGTAAGATAATTTTTAATACATAGAGATTAATACATTTTTCTTAAATGTAAATTTTAATATTAATTTACGTATTTATTTGTGTACGTACGTGTACGTATTTATTTTTATATTATATTGAAATGCATATAGCATAAAATTTCCCTATGTTGTCCATTTTCTGCACATAATAAAATGGTAAATTATTTCGGGTTAAGATATTTTAAAACCAAAATGAAATTAGTAATAGGAGTAATAAAATACCTATTTGTACCGAAGTTAGTTGTGAATAATCTTAAAATACAATTGTTTTGTCACAATATTTAATTAAATTCTTTTTTTAGGTACGCCACAAAAACCAAAAGTACCAAAAACCGAATGTTATTCTACGCCACAAAATAGATACAGCGAAGATAATTTTGTGAAAACTCCTAACGGAACTGAGTGTAACTTATCACCAACTATATTTTTAACACCGAAGAAAAGACGAGGTCAAAAACGATTTGTCATCACTAATATGAAGAGATTGCATTTTGAAGATGAAGAATAAATTCTTATTTTAAAATGCCAACGGAAAAATCCTGGCCACCATAAACGATGTAGTAAAGAAATATGACGAATTTAAGCATTTTTGGTGAGAAACTGGTAGTTAAAGCATATAAATAGTTTTGTATTCATAAATTACAAATTGCGATCTCAAAAGACTTAAAAAAATATTTTAAACATAGGGTAAATCTATTTATTAAATTATTCTAAGAGTTTAATGTAAGAAATGATATTATAATTAAAATATTATTTATTTTGTTACATATTTTTAAATAAAATATTTTTTAGATACAAATTTTCTTTTTTTTCAATAATCAATTTTTATCACAAACATTTTTTAAACTTCTCTTTTAAAAAGTCACTCCATATGATATTTCGTCGACTTTTAATTCTTGCTTAAATCCTCATGAATATTGCAAGTTAGAAGAAATTCATTTAATTTCACATCTAAAGCCTTTAATATTGACTCTGTGTTGTATGGGTGAGCTGAAAATAAATGTTTTCTATACTATTATAATAAAACGTAAACACACACTTCTTTGTTGCCTAAGATGTCAGCAATTACAGCAGAATAATTGTTTTTTTAATAAAAAGCCCTACACTTGCGTCACGCTTTAGGCTATACATTTTAACGCCATTGAACTTAGGGGGTAAATATTTTGGATTAAAACCCTAATGTGGGAAAGAGACCATAAGTTGCTGCCAACATCAAGGAAGCAAGGTTGTCATCATGTCAGGTCATTTTGACATTTGCAATTGATAATTTGACAAATGTAAACAATAAAATAAAATTCTCATAATTTCATGCGGATGAAGCCGCACGCGAACAGCTAGTTAGTAATAATTTAGGTTTAATCTGCATTTCATCCTTTACAACTCACCTATATTAATCCACTCTTTGGGATCATAGCCTGAATCTTTTCGTGATTCATAAATACATTTCCTCAAAGCGTGTGTAACTCCATGCGCTGTGCAAATACCCATCTCCCCAACCGCTGAAATAAAAAAAAAGTTTGACAAACGCACATGATTATAGTTAAAGTAACAAAGATGTAAAGATGCTTACTTTTAGATCCTAAAACTCCTTTGGGATTCTTCGCGTTGTCTTTGAACTTTATTCTAAAGTCTATAGGAACGTCTTTCGCAAGAGGTACATCATAGTTGAGACTATCGTTTGTCAACAATTTCCCTGTCGTTTTATCATATACGAAGTCCTCTGTCAGGAAGTAACCAATTCCTTGAACGTAAGCACCTTCCAACTAAAATAAATATTCCAGTTAAATAATTTATTGATATGTGTAATATAATTAATTTTTATGTAGGACTTACTTGACCAACATCTACCGCAGGGTTAGTACTCAAGCCGACGTCTTCTAACATATCTGCTCTTAACAATTGATATCGTCCAGTCAACACGTCTAATTGCACTTCCAAAATAACCACCGAAAATGCGCTGTACCTTTGAAGCTCAGGTTCTTTATCCGTCATCATATATTTAGCTGACAATTCTATCTGTTCAGCGCCAGCCGCTTGCACGATTTGCAACCACGTGGGTTTCTGCAATCTCTTTACTATAGGTTCCAATCTTTTTTTAATTATCTTACACGCTTTTATAATCGAAAAACATACACTCTCGCTAGTTATACTCGATCCGGAGAAAACGTTATTGGCTGCCACGAAAGAATAATTAGGTATAACTGTGACGCATTCTACAGGAATAGATAGTTCGTATGCACAAACTTGTGCTGCTTTCGTATTTAATCCTTGTCCCATTTCTATACCTCCTGTGGTGACAGTAACAGTACCATCTCCCCTATAAATGGATACCATAGCTGTGTAGTTTCCGTAAAATTGAACTGGGAATAACATCACACTGATTTGTATCGCTCGTTTCATCCAACGATTTTCTTTGTTAAATTTTTCCACTTCTAAAACTCTTTTGTCGTAATCCGCTTCTATCTTTAATTCTTCTATAAGTTGTGGGATATCGTTGTCTTCAGTCCTCATGTTCGCGAGCCGTACAGATGTTGAATCTCTTTGTACTGCGTATGAGATATGCTCCATTATATGCTCTATGCAGGCGATACCTTCTGATGTGCCTATAAAATTCAAAAATTGATTAAATGTATGATTGTATGGAATTAAACTACAATTCGTTATATTTACCTGGAGCTCGAGCGAATGTATTTGAAGGTAGATCAGTGAGTACACTGCCCGTGCTCAATTTCCAAGTATCCGTGATGTAACAGTTGGGAAAACCTTCTGCCGTGTAACTCAGTATGTTCTCGTTGTGGGAACAACCATCATCTTCAACTATAACAGCGTCTAAGTATTGAATTTTACCATTATCGTCAACTCCGACCTAAAAAATAATCACGATTAGTTACTTTTAAATAGAATTGCCAACTATTTTTGTATTACCTCATATTCACATTGGCACGGAAGTCTTCTCCCTGCGATGGTAAGGTTCGTCTCGATCGGTAAAATAAATCTACACGGCAAATCCATCTTTTTAGCGACCAAAGCGCATGCGGTAGAAACTTGAACATTGCGACTGATTTTACCTCCGAAACCACCACCAATTCTACGTATTTTTAAATGCACACTGGAAATATACGTATACCTTAATGATTTGAAAGAATTATTGTGTTTAAATTTAAATTCTGTTCTAACTATAAAATACTAACTCGCTTTCTTTTATACCTAAACACTGAGCGATTGCAATCTGTGATAAATCCATCCATTGTGATGAATCGTAGACATCTAGACCTTTATCTACTGGGATGACCACACAAGTTATGGGTTCCATGTAATAGTGATATTGTGCTCCAATTTCATATACACCTTTTATTATTTTCGTCACGTTAGTACCTCTACTCTTTGGTGTTATACTAGAATCTCCAGCCATGTATCTTCTAGGATCGGTCTTTGCAGCGTCTATGGTTAGCACAGGAGATGTATTAGGAACGTTTTTATAAGTGACCTTCACTTTCCTAGCAGCCTTAACTGCTAATGCCTCGGTACAAGCTACTAATATCGCTATCGGTTGTCCGAAGAACTTTATATGTGAACTGGCGAGGATTTCTTCATCTTCATATTGTAGTTGAATTCCAGGAAAACCGAATGAATTCTTCCCTGGGATATCATTTGCAGTATATAGAGCGAGCACACCTTCGATCGCCTAAAAGAGGTTAAACAGGTATGAAAAATATTTAGATATTGAGAATAAACTACTGTTTTTTTTCCCCTTTACTAATCCCAGCTTTCGAAAAATGGATAGCGAAGTCGTAAAACCATATTTACTTCTTAAGGTGCCTCTTCGACTAGCAAAAATTGGCGAATAGTTACTTCTTAACAGTTTCTAACTAATTTTCTTCTATAAAATATCTAATCCTTACCAAAACATCGTGTGCATCAATGACATCGATTTCGCCAGCATGTACTGTAGATAGTACAAACGCTGCAAACACTTCTCTTTTCTTCGGCGGTATATCATTAGCGTATTGCGCTTCTCCCGATGCTTGGATAATCGCTTCTAGTTTTTGTAGCGGCTCATTTAGAGGATACAGTAATGGATTTGTCTGGAAGTTTTGCTTCCCACTGGATAGTGGACGCTTTATCAAGAACCCACCAGAACAATACTTCGGACATGGTAATCCGATCGGATTTATGTTTAAGATAAACTGTAAAACAAAATGTACAATGATTTACTGCCAAAATGCTTCTATAAAAATCAATGCTATCGTCTTTTTTATCAATTCGCGACGAATACAATTGATTTTCAGATTCCGATGAGATTGAATGAAGCGTGTACTTCATTATTATATTGATACTAGCTTCCGTCCGCGTGGAATTAAAATAAAAAAAAAAAAAACTAAGAAGCCTATCTGTTCTTCCAGACTATCCTCTACATCTATGCTAAATTTCAACGACATCCGTTCAGCATTTTAGGCTACAAACTCTAATAAACATCCATCTAAACCTTCGCATTGCCATTGCCTGTAAGTTCCTGAACCCACCAGCACAGTGTCAACAATATTTTTGACCGACTTCCCAAAAGAAGGAGGTATTCAATTCGACGGTATATTTTTTTTTTTTATTTTTTTTTTATGTGTGTTACGGCATAA